ATGGTCTCCAACCTAGTTAGTAGCGATGGCCTCCAACCTAGAAGAGAAGGCCTCCAACCTACTAGCGATGACCTCCAACCTAGTTAGTAGCGATGGCCTCCAACCTACAACCTAGTCGAAGACATTGAACTCCATGGTCAGGTCCTGCGTACAGGATCCGAACCTCGTCGCCAGGTTGCAGAATGACCTGACATTGTTTGGTGAGGCAGCTCAACATCACAGCACAGTGAATAGGTGTTATATGTTCTTGTTGAACTTGTTTTTCCTTTATGATGTTCTTTCAACCAGACCTATTATCCTACGTCGTAGGAGCAGTTAACCGTGATCGAAGGACATTTCGATGAAAAAGCTGCACATTATGTAAAGTTTCGCCATCTTGCGCCGGTGAACTGCCCATCCACGGACGGACAAGTGTGCGCAAAAAGTAAGTAAAGATATATAAATTAAGATTCGTGGCAAATAGGATGAAGCAATGCATGTCCAACAGTATGGATTTCTAGAGAAACGCATGCAGATTCAAAACATAAGTACTCAAAAGTAGAGATCCATAGAGACAAGTATCCCAACGTAAAATAGTTCCGGAGAAAAAACGATCAAAAGTAGATCTTTCTAGAGAGTTGAAGTAAACAAGTACAAAGAATTCCAGGGAAGAGTCCACCAGCAAAAAAATCAAGAGACAGATGATGTCTGGACATGTGCCCAAAGACAGAGATTTCTAGAGAAATGTAGCAAGAAGTATAGATTCCTAGAGACAAGTATCAAGGGTAGAGGTTTCTAGAGAAAATACTCATGTAACTCATGTAGTCAAAATGTCAAATAATTGATAAAACAAGGACTCATGGAGCCGAGAATACCAAGAGTAGAATATTCTAGGAACATTGTCTAAAAGAGTAGGATTTCTTGAGAACAAGTATCTCCAAATGTAGAGGTTGCTAGAGAAATGTATCCCAAAGTGGAGATTCCTAGAGACAAGTAACAGAAAGTAGAAGAGAACAAGGTATGCTAAAATGGAGATAGATATTATTAGTGAAAAAGTACGGAAAAGTAGAGATTTCCTGGGAAACAAAGATACATAGAGTAAAGTTATATAAAGTATTCTAAAGGTCAAGATTCGAAAGACAGTTATGGACACGGTTTCTAGACAAGTTTTTTCCAACACGAGAGATGTCTAGAGAAAAATAACAAGTTAGCACATCGTGCATCTTCACGCACCACATCGCGCATTCCGACGCGTCAGAACATCATGTTGACTTCAAGTTTCCAACCTACTAGCGGCCTCCACCCTAGTAGCGATGGCCTCCAACCTACTAGCGATGGCCTCCACCCTAGTACAGTAGCGATGGCCTCCAACCTAATAGCGATGGCCTCCACCCTAGTACAGTAGCGATGGCCTCCAACCTAATAGCGATG